CTGTGCGGGGGCGGCCCCCGCTGCGAAAATAACACCCCCGTGCGTGTACGTTTATATCTCAATCTATCTATCTATCTATATATAAAATACACGTAGATGCGGGAGATTGATAGAGGGTGCAGCCAGCGCGACGTCGGAGACAGGCGAAGGGCGCTCCTGCGGCAGCGTGACATCAGCCGGCTGCACCACCGCCTGCCCCTGCCTCCCAGCGCAAAGACGTCGTTTATTAAAAAAAAAATAATTCAATCCCTGGCTGCTCACGCCTCCCTGGGGAAGGCAGCCATCCACTCGGGGCCGTCCCTTGCCCTCAGCCGGCTCCTGTGTCCCCCACATGTAAATCGCGGTGCCATGAGTCCCACGGGCCTTTACCCCAGCTTTCTGCTACAGCTGCCCCTGCGTTGCCCCTCTTTTCCCAAACGCTCCAATTCTGGATGGGAATTCACAATTTTTGCGCCGGAGCAGCGCGCAGCAGGGGGATGGACACGCAGGTACCCTGTCTGATGGTGGTACGCAAGGAGAAAGGAGTGATCACAGAAAACGTGGGCCTAAAGACGACTAATAATGTAAATACACACACGGACACACGGCAATGCTAAATTTAGGCGATGAGTACTTGTAAATTATTATGTCACCAGCCAAAGTGAGACTTTTCAAAAATAAATCTTCACTTACGTTTTCCACTGCTCCAAAATCAGAATGTTTATGGCTATGACAATGACGGTGATTTTCTTCTCCTTGTAAAACCTCTCATCAGAACCACAAAAACTAAGCTGTCTTGTTCCTGCCTCTTATTAAAGGCTTGCTTTTTTTTTTTATTTTTAACTTTAATTGGAAATTTCTGAAGGGCATCCAAAAAAAGATGAGAAAAATACAAGTTAAAATTGTAATCAGAAGTAAGCAGAAAAGTAATCAATTTAAAATCCCTAACCACTATGCTTTTTGCAGGAAAACTATGTCAATATGCATGTAAACTGGCACAGGAAGACAAAGGTGATATTTTCTAGTTTTGTGGCAATTTCCACTTCATACCACTTGTATGGACACAGCCAGGGTTGCCTCTGTCGAGATCTTTGGTTGCATCCTCTGAAATCTGAGTGGCCAGAGCTTAACCCACAGGGATCCCAGCCCCAAAAACATTAGGACCAATGCATATCTACCAGTCCCAGATGGAAATCGATGGGCCTACACATTAGTATAAAGTTGAACAGACGTGCATTGTGTTTGCGGGATCATAGACTATTACAATAAATTGGAAAAATACACATCATTTCAGTGCTGCTTTCAGTCTAAACCAGCAGTTGGAAGACAAGTTTATTACTTAGTTCCTCATGAATTTAGTTCCCGGCCATGTCAAATTGCAATCACACTTATTTACACCTGCATGGGCGTCATATGACAAAAAAAAAAAAAAAAAAAAAAAATTAGCTGCACCTCTTCTGCAAAATCTGCCACACCGGGCACAGGCTGGCACCCTGGGGCCACCACCGCCATTCGGTAATCCCAGCGGGTGCTTTAGGGCAAAATGTGATTAAATTGGCACAGAGATTAAATAAGTGGACTAGAATTCCAGGTTGCATTTTTGTGGTGGAAGTCGTCAGTGGGCCTCAAAAGCTATGTCTGTACTCCCATATCTCACTATCAATTCACCTTTTTTAAGAATAAACAACCTTTTTTCCTGCACTTTTTCAGTATGAGGCCTTCGAACTGTTTAGCCAGTTCTGTTGCTGGGTTTTAGTAGCAGGCCCAAAATAAGATTGCACAGAGGCCCAAAATAGGAATGGGGTCCCATTTTGTGTAAAGAATCATTGAATCACAGAATGGTTAGAGTTGGAAGGGACCTTAAAAGTCACCTAGTTCCAACCCCCCTGCCATGGGCAGGGTCATCTTCCTCTAGACCGGGTTGCTCAAAGCCCCATCCAGCCTGGCCTTAGAAGAAATTTCCTCCTCAGGCCTGGCAGTAAAGAGGAATTTAACATTTTTTCCCAGCATGATACTTGAAAGCACTGGGGCTGTATTATGTTTAGCTTGCGCAGAGGGGCCCATGCTCTGCTCTCCAAGAGCCTTTTGCGTACGAGAAGCAATTCTCCCTGGGTTCCCACACGTTCCCTCAGTGCAACTGAGCGCAGGGCTCGGCACGTGTTTGTTACCTGCTTGTTTTGACACCCAATGAGGGATTTTTCCCTTTACGCGGTATGTAGGCCTGTAAACGGAGTGACTCCCACACAACCAGCTGAACTTGCCTTGTGTTTCGTGCAGTTTCTGCACCCGTGCAAAATGGGTGAGATAAAAAATGGCGGCATCTTATACCCAGTTTTACGTGATTATATAAAACTAAAGCAAAGGACAAATAGATCCAGAATAACTGTATACACAGAGAGCTTGTGCTGGCAGAATTAACTTGAAGACACTGAGGGGAATTATTTAATGACTACAAGACGAACCTGAACTCAGGTAGACCACCTGGAGACCTCTAGGGAATATCCACCCAGGACCACTGTGACCGTCTGCTGGAGTTCTTGCGCCTAATGGCTCTGAATACCTCCATCTGATGCAGAGATGGAGCTCCTGGTCAGCACTGTGAAAAAAACACACAAAAAGTAATACAAATAAGTTAAAAGTCCCATTACTGTAAACAAAGGCATGTGTGAAAGTTTAAGCATGTCAGGAACCTGACTAGTCTTTGCCGTACTGGGATCTTTCTTGTTCTTTCCCATTTTGTACATGCTCCATTTTTATGGCAGAGTGCAGCAGCTGAGGTCAGAGCTGGGAGCTGCCTGTCCGCCTCTCCCCTTCTGCAGACAGATTTTGCTCTTCTAGAAACTGATGTTGCTATATTAGCACTAAAATTCCTGTCTTTTCTAACCCAAAAAGCGCTGGAAGCCTGCTGCGCCAGACAGATATATTCATCAGAGGATGATTGTCAAAAGAGCTGTTTTGGGGAAAGAGAGAGCTGGCTGTCTGCACGAAGACGATCTCCACCGTGCGGTCCTGTGACAGGCGGGAGCTAACTCCATTTTGCCAGGTTAATTCCAAAAGCTGTGTTTATTTTTCCTCCATTTCTGGAGCTTAGGATCTAACGCAAGCCCTCTCTGCAGGGAAAAAGTTGTGCTTAAATACTGCCTAACCTATTTTCCAGGATTTTCTCTACTGTACTTCAGCGTGGCTTTGTTTTGGTTTTGGTTTGTGTTTTTTTTTCTTCCCTGTTATGAATCATCTCTGGCAGTTGGGGAATAGGGCGTCTGATGCTTTCAAGGAGGAATACCTCTCCAGCACCGAGGGGAGGGCGCTTTTCCTGCTCCCCCATGGACAGAGAGGGATCCACCACCTCTCGTCTAGCGCAGGGCCAGAGACTAACCTGTGGTAGGAGGCAGATAAATAATGAAACCTCACTATCCTTATCCTCAAGATAAACATAAAGCATATTCTGTGAGGATAACTGCCTTTAAAGGCTTGCTAAAAAAAGACACTTTCCAAAAGCTTTAACCGCTGGTTCAGTGAACTCCATTTTTAAGCCTTTTTGCAACTTTCCTTCCCAAGGGATGTCTGTCTCTATGTATCCTAAGCTATGCCCAAGAAATCTCCCTCTGGTTCTCTTTGGTTTGTTATCTCCATCCATGTGTAGCACCTGTAAAATGAAAGTGCAATAACTAGTAATTCACCTAACCAACTTTAACGGATACTTTGTCTTTTACGGTTTCAATTATTTAAAAAAAAATAGCCAGTTTACCTAGGAAACTTTCAGACTCGTATCATATCAACTGGCAGGAGAAACCGGGCTGTGTTCAAACCTGGCACTGAAAAGGGGGCTATTTTAATTATAATGAAGGCCTGCTTGACCAGGAGTTTTGCCAAGCTTTTCTGGGTCTTGCAGCATGTTTGGAGCGGGTGCAAGCATTGCATGGTGGGCAGTATCGCAACCCGGCAAATAACAGGGAACATTAAAAAAAAACACTAGGGAAGTTTGAGGTAGGCCCCGTGATCATGAGTCCTTCTCCAGCAAAGAAAGAGTATTAGCCACCACTCTAACTAGTTATGGAAACAGTTTTCTAGGCAACCACAGCTACTGTTCCCTGCTTTGCCATCCGTTTAGTCATTTATATCCCTGCAAGGCAGTTTTAAGGCACTAATGAAATGGGCACGCAGCCCTTACTCTGTGCAGATGTGGGAGATCATCAGGTGCAAGGCAGCAATGGCCCAGGCTCACACAAGCCTGGCTGTAGCTTGCCATGGTCGGTCAGACAAGGAGTATGGTGTTTTGCTGGAGTAATACATAGACCATTTGCATTTTGTAAGTCATGATAACCAGGTTAAATTCCCAAGGTGCATCCAGGTTCTTTGATGATACAGATAGTTTGAAACTTTTCATTTCTGTAGACTGCCTCCTCTGTACAGTACAATAAATCTTTGTCTTAATGTAATGTCAAATGGCCTCAACTGCTGAGCTTGAAAAAGTTATGATTATGGTGTTTGTATATCCTGCATGGTTGTCTTAAAGCTGGAAGAAGTCAGTAAGGAAGAAAAAGGCACCAGCTACCAGAGAAAACTACGTAGAAGGGGACAGTGGATGATGAAAGTGGTGATTCAGACTGTCCTGTACAAGGCTGATGACTAGGAAGGAAGAAATACCAAGGTTTGGTAATTGACTGAATGATGTTTTAAACAGAGACATCCTTCCATTGTCAGTGTTGTTGAATATTTGATGCTCCTGCTGGTAGAAGTTAGGGGAAAAATGTTTTCAGTCAGACCCCCATGCAGATGGCTGATTTTGTCTGTTGTCTCTTGTGCTGACCCAGAGGCTCAGTTTCAGGGTTATTCTGACAGAATCGAGGCCAAGGAGAGATAAATATATGCAAGTTTCATGTAACAAAGCAATCAACACTACTGTCTTTCCTTGATTTTTTTTTCTTTTGCGATCCAGTAGTGAACTGGAAAAGCACAAGCATTCAAAACTAAGCGTTGCCTACCTGCAGAATGGCTTGAGTGCAAGGAGGAGGGCAGCTACAGATTGCAGGGACTTTGCCACCTGCACAAATTATGACCCAGGAAAGCCTCACAGGGTCACGCAGTGGTTCCAGGTATGTGATAGCAGAGGACGGGAGAGCACCGAATCCCCAAATGCAGAGCCACGTGGCACAGGGACTGTGAATTTCAGCTGCATTGGTCCAAGCTCTGGATCCCCAGAGAAACTATGGATGTCCTTAATCTTACTGCTGCCTCAAGGAATCCTGGAGGATTTCCAGGTCCGACGCCTTCTGAGAAATTTGTTTGCATTTCTCCTGTGTGCAAATTGGCAAGGCAGTGATCCAGCGATACACAAGTGCTTGCGATTATGGCATTGCCCTTTGATTCCCCATCTTGCGAGCAAGCAGTGTCTTGAAAGATCAAACACCAGCCTGAGGACTTCATTAAACATTTCTGTTCTTAGAGAAGTTGCTCACCTGGAAATGGAGGGAAAGGAAAATGCGACCTTCATATTGTTCCCCTAGTGCAGGCAGGTGAATCCACACAACCATACCATGCCTTGGCCTCCCATTTTGTCTTTCTTCTTTCAGCTCTCTATCTCCGACAAGACAGCGGGGTGTCCTGTCAAAGATCAGAGCAGTCACATCTCATCATGACTGGTTTATGTCCATCTGGTTTTAACACTTCAGTTCTTCTTGGTCAAAACTCCAGCCGTCCCCCTGCTCATCTTCTGGCCGGCAGCTCCACCACCTCTGAGGACCACGTCAGGACCCTCTCGTCCACAAAGGCTTTCGCCCCCGGGGCTGCTTCATGGACTCTTCACAACCTTTCCACCAGCAGCCACTGCCCCTCCAGCACCGAAGGCAGCGCTGCCCAAGCCCGGGAGCGGTGCTATCAGTGCCTCGTCAGGACGCAGCAGGAAACGTCTGGCCTCCGCTCCACCACCATCTGCTAGAACCAGGCCTCCTCTGGCGAGAGTCCAACGCAAAGTAAATAGAGTTTCACAGCCAGATTTCAAACAACAAAATAACTGAGAAATATGGCTCACTGCTCCTGGTTTTCAAATTCAAAATATGAAAGTCCCTAGAAGCAAAAGTCCTTTATGCATCCTAAGACCTTTTGATTGCCAAATGGGCCCGTTGCAGCTAACGCTAGAGAGAAAGTGCAGCGATGTAGCAATTTTAGTTAGCTACACCTAATTAGTTCAATTTACGCATTTGCTAATTTTTAAGATGATTTCTTTCTCAAGATCAGTGATGGAGAAAAATTAAATTGTCAAACTGGAGACTTCAGCTTGCAATATTTACCTTACAGAGATGGAAGAAATGGAAGAATTCTGAATCTTGCTATTGTACGACATTTTTCATGGTATAGGGGAGAGAGCGAAGGACTCAATGAAGTGTGAACGATTTTTTAAAAGAACAGATTGCCATGTCTTTTAAAATAGGTCAATTTTTTGGCCTAGTTTCCTTTAGAGTGTCCCTTAAAGCAATTGGGTTGGAATATCCAAGCTAGCACCATTGCTTATTTGGTTTTAGCCACATCCCTGTGTGGCTGTAGTTGTAAGGCAGAAGTGATCCAGCGTTAGACTACAATGGCAGACACCACGTGTCTCAAGCAGTATTTCTGAACAAGTTACACTGAACAGTAAAATCTCAGCAGTGGACGCGTTTCATACTTATGTGTGATGTTATTCTGAAACAAGTGACTAAGAAAAAACAAACTATAAAAAAAGGTGATGGCCAGCGAAGCCAATACCCGCAAACCCAAATCCTGTCAAACTTGACCTATTAACTCTCCAAATTTCAGGAGGGTTAGCACTATTGTTTACTTTCTATCTTTAAATTGATTAAATCAATTACAATAATGACATTTAGACTGAAGATACACAAGATAGTACTTACAAGAACAAACCAAGGCCACCTATGTTGAATGGAGATAAAATACAATGGTCAGCTGTCAAAGCAAAAAGACTCTGGATGTATACATTTAGATTCTAAAAAAAGATGTTCAAGATATTTAAAGAGGGAGGAAATTCTGCAGGCAGTATTAATTAATATAGAATAAATACCATCTGTCTTCTATGTACAGAGCAGTCTGGTACATATATTTATGGATGCATCTTTGCTCTATGAACATAACTTAAGTATAATACACATGTAGTTATGATGTTACATAAACTTAATAATTCAACGTAATACACATAGCAGTAATTGCGGTTGGCCTTAGTGCAGCTATATGGAGTGAGGCAGGACACGAGGAGGATTTCCTCCATCCCAGAGCCCTGAAAAAAGGCCAGGTACAAACCAAGAGTGGTTGTGCTTGGGGAATACAAGGACAGGACTTGTCACTCTACCTACTTTCCCCTGAGGCTGAGGTGGGAGCTCAGCACATCCTTGTTAAGATGCAGGTTCTTCTCCCCACTAAGCTGATCCTTAAGGGATAGTGCCCTTCAGGCACAACCCATTTAAAACGTACCTTGTTGTGGTGAAACTCTGGATTGACCTAATGCGCAGCCAGTAATAAACATTAGTTGGCTCACAGTGTTGTACAGTAATAAACATACTGAAGAGCTTGTCAGTGCATGCTTCAGGAAAGAAGTACAATCTGGAACAACAGGGTCTACGCATACACTTGGAATACAAATCTATTCCAGGCTGTGGACTTCATTATGAAAACTGTTCATGATTCCAGTTAAGCTGTGAGTGAAGGCATCGCAAAGGCTTGTCTCGTATTCATCCCACTATAATGTGGAAAGATAAATCAGCCTTTAATAACAGAGACAGTTTTAAGAATACCCTTCTTTTAATGATTAACATGATTTTGCACTGGGATTTGTAGTTGTAACCACCATTATGGACTGGAACCTTTGTTTTGTACCTGATCATAATCTGCATCCTTTCCTGAAGAACCAGCACGAGCTGTTACACACATGGCTTTGCGTGCACGGTTTGTGAGATAAAAAGGCTCAAGAAGGGGAAAGAGGATTTTTCTTTTTGTAGAATATCAAAAAGTGCAGGAGAAGGCATCTAGAAAGCTCCCGAGGATATCGATTTGTGAACAACGCTTTTTCACATATTACTCCCACTACTTCCTGCGAGACACGAATATTATGCACCCAGATCCGGTTTGAGTTTTCACACTGGCAGTTCCTCCTAGCTCGTGTATCAAAATTGCTTTCACTTCATAATAATAGGTCATAAATTATTCCAATAATAATTCTAAGAATATTATTTTTGGCTGCTACACTCTAAATAATCAACAAAGATGCCAGGCAGATTTGTGCTGCAGTTGATAAGTAGCAGGAGAATATTAGTATCTCCGCAATGATCCCACTTCCAACAGCTGGCAAAGTCTTATCCTGCAAAGAATCCCACTGAAAGGGCTTCCTCA